TTCCCGCTGACATCTTTCGGGTTACCCCGACGCCCCATGCCTTTGCCCGAATTGCGCCTGCGCCCTCTGGAGATTTCTTCATACTGTGGCCCCGTGAAAAGATGCCAAGAATGTTAACGTACCTCGGACATGTAATCTCCGTCGTGTACCCTTGCTTCCTCTGTTGACCTGGACACCCGTCGGACTGCGCGTCGTACCTTTCGAACTGTTTCTCCGTGAAACGTCTCCATCGGCGCGTGCGCTTCTGGTGCCCTAAGAATATCCACTGCGTCTGCTGCTCTTCAGTAGTGGGGTGCACGGGCATGTCGGAGTAATCCAAATTGTCAATTCCCTCATATGATGCGGCGTCAGCGTCGGCGCCGGGATCAAATCCGGGCTCCGCGGGCTGCCCCGCCGGGCCTGCGAGGGCAGCGGATTGGGCGGGGGCCGCCATTGCCGACGGCACCGGACGTCGGGCCCAGGAATCTCGCGACCCCGTGGGCTAGCCACCTGATTGGCATTTTTAAAGATGGCGGCCTCGTTTGGTTGTGAATCGCCATTCCAGGCGCTGCTGGCAGGTTGCCCCACGCGAAAGTCGCCGCGACAGACGCCGGCGCGGCTGCCGCGGCAGAATGCACCAGTGCTGCCAAGGGTTCGCTCAGCAATGTGGGCGTGAGCCCTCATGCGCTCTAGTAAAGCGTCAAACTGCTGCTTAGCCCATGGCATTTGGTGGTTCGATGGTTGTAGCAGTTGCTGCGCGCGCGATGCGCCGACGCCTGGGGCTCGAAACAGCGTAGCTGTTCGGGTCTGAAAGCTTGGGATGTTGAAACCCGCGGCGTCGGCTGCGAAGTCCCCCGTCTCGAAGCGCGCCAGCGGCTGGTCGGCCCGTTCCCCCGCGCGGGCGCGAAAGTCAATGAGCGCCGTTCCCGAGTTGAGCTGGCGTTCCTCTCCCAGGTTTTCGAACTTAGCGCCGAAGGGGAACGCGATATAGGCGGCGCCATCGGCGCGGCGACCACCGATATTAACGCCGAGTTAATTACTGGGGGGGGGCTCTCACGGCCGCGGCCCATGCGATCCCTCCCAGACCGCGTTCTAGAGCAGCGGCCCGCTGGGAAGGTTCACGGCGCCTGTGGCCACGTTGATCCAGGCATGTACTTCGCGAGCGAACTCGCGGAAGAAGGTGCGTTGCGGGCAGGGCCCCAACGAGGGCCGGCAGCGCGCGCGCCGTCTCCGCCACGCTGCGCGCGTCCAACGGCGCGCCCGATAGCGACCCATAGAGGACCAAGATAATAATACCAATCCAATGGCTTCGTAGGTCATAGTCGGTGGCATGTTGCTGTTGCTTGTGCGCCGACGTTGCCGTCGGCGCGCGCGGGGGTGGAGGCGGCGCAACGTCGCGTCGCGAGCTGCCGCGCATAGTACCTTCGAGGGAATTACCAATTGGCGCAGGCGGGTGGACTTCAGGAGCGTAGTAGCGCGGAGAGGAAGGTCTCAAGTAGGAGACCTCCGCGTGGGCAGGAGGCATCACTGCAAGTGTCCTTGCTATTGTGCGTATATATATACACACACATATATATACATTCCTCCGCGCAGAGCCACTGCACCCCGATGTTCCACCATGTCAGTAGTCCACCAGATAGTGCCGTGGATGGTGAAGAGTAGTGCGATAGCTGTCCTTCACAGGACAGCTCCGCTACCAAGTTTGAAGCTCAAGCGAATCGGCTTTCAGACTCAATGGCAAACGGCGTGCCTCGCGATGAGGCGCAGTCATATCTTGGCGGCCGGCCTCTTGAGCACAAACGGCCACGGACAAACGCTCGCTACATCTCGCCTTTGCCCAACTTCCTTTCGAGTTCAGCGACCCCGGGATTCGCTGGAGACACAAATATAATCTGCCCTACACGAGCGCGAGAAGGCCTTGCTCGGAGGACCAAGGGGGGGGGGGGGGACTTTCAGGAGGTGTGGGATGTTTTCGAAGAGAGCGAAGTCTGCACATGCACTGAAATCGGTGCATGCGCATAGCTCTTTTCGCGCGAATAGGTCCCCATCCTTCTCGTGCCACTGTTCATGAAGAGGCGCGATCTCCTGCCTGGGAGCGCAGGCGGGCGCCGCCCTCTCTGGCGCCACTCGAACCCAGGCGCAGCTCAAACTCAACAAGGACGGAGTGGGATTCAACTCCACCGAGAAAGCGTTCGCTGGCAGCCTGGTCCTCGCCGCGCAACATCAGCGAAGGGCTCTGCTAGCCCGCGCACGCGAAATACACAGGGCGACGAAGGCGACGCGTCTTTGACCGCGGCGCCCCAGGTCCGCGACGCCATCGCGACAGAGGCGTGCCGCGCTCATCGGTTCGACCACGAAACGCTCCAACATTAAGGCCTTCCGAGATGAGGCCGACGGCGCCGCGCATGCGCGCCGCCGTTTGGGACCTTTCCTCGCATGCGAAGCGCGCCCACCTTGCTGTTGCGGCGTTGCGGGCCCCAGCGCGTGCCCGCAGGCGCCCTCCTGCGAGGCGCGAGGCGCGCCGATCCCGCATAGCCTTTCGCAGAGCAGGGTCAAACGATGGACCCAGGTCGAGCTGATGGGGGAAGTGTTATATCCAGCATGCGGCGAAATCATGGGAGCGCTGCGAAACCACGCCTTGACGCGCGCTTGCCCAAGTGACCGCATGCGGCGCCACAGCGACCTACGGAACGCCTAGGCATCTGGCTGTTCAGGCGCGCAGGAAATCAAACGGTCCACACTACTGCCGCCGCGGTTGCTGGGCAAGGGGCCGAGCCATGAAACACCGAACGGGACGTACTGGCCGCTGGCAAACGGACGCATACGTCCCCTCGTGGCGCAATGGGTCTATTAACTTCTGACCACCTTGAATTTCGCGGTGTCGCAGGGCCTGCGCACGACCTCCTCGCGCACTCCACAACGGGGGAGGCAACGCCAAGAGACGGCGCAGACCTGCCGCGTCCGTGACATCACCTTCTTTCCAGAAAGCGTTTGGCTCAAGCCTTTTCGGTTCCAGCCTCCGTTACGACTGCCTTGCAAAGTATCGCTAGCAACAGACGGTGTTCAAATGGTCTCTCCAGCCGTGTCGCAACGGATAAACATGAGCACGTACATCTCCTTGATGTTTGGTCATCCTCGGCCGCCAGTTTAGGGGACAATGCTGCCCAGCGATGCCCCGTCCACTCCCTCCGCCGAAGAGTGTGCTGCGCGTGGACCATCGCGCAGCGGGTGCAGGGGCAGCGGGCGGGGGAGACCGCGGCCCGCCTGACAGCTATTGTGACGGTGCCTGCCGAAGCCGCCGCCGCCACCACGTGAGACGAAGGAAGCCCGCAGGCGAGGGGGTGGGCGAAGGAGGTGGAAAAAGAGGATAGGAGGAGGAAGAGGTAGGCGAAGGCCCACCTTCCGCGCGGAGGCGGGCCGAAGGTCCAGGAGGCGGCTGGGAGGTAGCCGGCTGTCAGGAGGAAGAAGCGCGGCCAGGAGGCCGGGAGCGGCAGAGTAGGACAGGGGGGCGAGGAGGACAAGGCAAGAAGCAGGCGGCGGAGGAGAAGCACCAGAAGGAGAGAGAGAGAGAGAGAGAGAAAGAGAGGAAAAAAAATGAGAAAAAAACAAAACGGATAGCTAGGACGGCCAAGAGGAGAGCGGCTGCAGCCAGCGGCGGCAGTGACGACGGCTTGGGCCGCGAACGAAACGACCAACTCCAAGACTGAGAGTTGTCAGCGAAATCGTCACCTAGAAGGCGGGTCCTGAAGAACTCGAAACGTCTCCGACCCCGATTAGACGCCCCCATGCCGTATTCAGGAGGTCGAACCCATCGCCTCTCCTGGGCGCGCCGCTAGGCCACGCCGAGGGCGAAGCCGGATAACCGTGGTCTAGATTGTCCCAGTCATGGCCTCCCACAGTGAGTTATTACGCCTCGCCGCCTCCTTCTCCCCCCCTCCGCACCTGCAATGACTTCATTGATGGATCGAGCAGACCACACCGCCCCCTCGGCGTGTCAGTTCAAGCAGCAGAGCGCGGAGAAGCCCGAACCGTCACTTGAGGGGAAACGACGGGGCAACAGGGAGGGGGACATCGACCTGGAATCGGCGGTACATCGCCAGAATATCGGCGATAGGCTCCCCGATTGCGACAATGTACGTTCCTGGGAGGGGTGGGCTACCGTGCGCCTGTCGGCGATGGATGGAAGATTGGAGGTCTATGTATGCCCCCCCTGAGCCTGTGTACCCCCTGGCGTTGGCCCTCCTGGCACCTGCTCTGCCGCCGCCTCCTCGCTCCTCTCCGTCCGATGGCCACCGCTGAGGGCTGGGGGAGCAAGACCGGTGTCAATGGCACGCCGCCGTGGGGAACCCGTCAGCGGTACTGTGAAGAAGCGCCAGGATTCAGGACAAGAGCGACGGAGAACTCACAACGACTGGCTCCCCACGGCGGCGTGTCGAACCGCCCCCTCCGCCCGCTGTCGCCCAAGCACGGGTTCAGCTCACGCCGACGCTGCTCCTGAGCTCGTCGAGCTGCCGAGCGGGAGGTTATCTGGGCGAGCTCCGAAGAAGGGGGCTGGACAGAGGCCCTGGGCCATCTCGAGGCGACGAGAAGTGAAAGGTGAGATCTATTCAACGACTGCCCATCCTCGCTATGGCATGGCCTGAGCAAGCAGGAGGCCGCACGCGTGAGGCTGGCCGAGCGTCTGCTTACGGTACTCCTCGGATTCTGCCCGAACTTCTTGGGAGACAAATCATTAGTTGCGCTCTCGGATGCATGCTGGCGTCAGACCCTAATGGCGTAGACGAATCTTGGCCGGCCGTTTGACGTCACTCCCTTTCGGCCGACTGCTCTCGCTGCCGGCCCTGTCCTCCGCCTCACGCCGATACGGTGCGCGCGGGGGAAGCGCACGGGGTGGGGGGGCCGGGAGCGAAGAGGATGTCCTCGGGGAGCCCAGGGAGCCGCGAGGGCGGGAGCGAGGGCGACAGGAGGCAGAGACAGGCTGTCCACGGGGAACCAGTGGAACTGCGTGCGGGGGGCTGCGCCCCGTGACAGGCAGGCCGGCCACGATGAACAATTGCACGCCGTGCTTCTCGTAAAGCTCCTCCGTCAGCGCCTTGGGGGGGGAGGGATAGGCCAAACTTCGGAGCGTCCGGAGAAAGCACGGCAGACGGTTTCTCTTGAAATGAATCCCGAGGTCCACAGCCAATCCCCAGAGAGGCCCCAGAGTAGTGAGCAAGGATAGTCTTCAAGTTCAACATAGTTTTCACTCCAGCTTTGAACCTACATGGGATCACAACTGGTCAATTGTTGATCAATTGTTCCAGAAGTTTGTCTTACCATGCCACGGTCCATGACTGTCCAAAGGCTGCCCTGCATGGCAGACAAATCGGAGCGCCTGAATGATCGAACAAAAATGAGCAGCAGCTCGTCCATAGAGGGGATAGGTCGCCCTGCGGGTGCGGAACCCACCAGCCCGTACGGGTGTGAGTGGTTTAGGGAGTTTCCTCTTCCAGTTCCCTTCTTCCCCGTCGGGGAGGGGTTTACCACTGTTCCCCCGATGAGAAATACTCCCTTCCCCAGGCGACTGGCAGCCAACCAGGACCCATACGGACCCTCCCCACAATCCCTGTCAGAAAAACAATGTAAAGTCCACTGTGGGGCAAAAATCTTGGGTCATGATCGGGGGGCCGCGATCACTTTGTACTTCGAGGCGAATTCTGGAGCATGCCGGGGCACTCCGCGATCATTGTGTTTTGTTTTGTGTCTGGGGTTCCCGGCATATTGCCTGCTGTGTGCAGGCACACCAGACACTATGATGGCCACCCCGCCGCAATTGCGCACTGGTTTTCGACAAGGGTGGTGGGGGCCGACACGTTTCCCGATGTGTACCGCCATGTGCGCAGGCGTACCTGGCACACTCTGCGCGTGACAGGGGAAGGTGCAAATGGCGCGGCTGGAGCATGCGGCACAGATGGCGCACGTGTATCACGTGACGCATCTGGCGAACCAGGCGTGCCTGGCACGCCGCTTGGGCCACAGGGATGCCTGGCGCACCTGGCGCGCCTGGCACGTCTGGCGCACCTCGCCCCAGCGTTGCGCATATGGGATCTGTTTTGGTTCCCATTAGCTGCCCATCCAAAGACGATATCTGAACATGCTGCGGCTCAAATGCTACTTATGTGTTGGGAGGGCGGGTGGGAGTAAGCGAGACGGCTTGCGGGCGGGGAGTGTCTTGACCCCGCCCCTTACCCCCTCCCCCTGGGTCTGGACGGGGCCTTTGGTGAGGGGTTGGGGCGTCCAAGATGGCCTCGGCGAAAAATCCAAAACCACTGATGGAACTAAATATTTTTGACCACGCACATGTTAGTCTCCAGAGGGGGGGATGCGCCCAGGAGTCGCTAACAGGCCCCTAAGATGCCTCCAAGATGCCCCCATGAGGCTTCCAAGAGACCCCCAAGAGCTGCCAAGAGGCTCCCCCGAGGCAAGACGCCCTAAGAGGCCTTTCGGCGAGAAGACCAAAACCTGACCGGACAAGAACAGGAAACGTCATTGTGTGCCCTGGGCTTATGAAATGTCATACGTTTTTCACATCGGCTGTGCAATTCTGTCGTGGTGTGCGTGCGGTTGAGCGTGCGCATGTGCGTCCGTGCGCGGTGGTCTGCGGAACGTCTGTGTTGTGCCGTGCTGCTCTTTTGACACAGATATGATGCTTTCCCCTTCTGGGCCAAAATGCTGCGGCACGGACTGGTTTCAGAATGTTCCGGGAAACGTCTTCCGGAACGTTCTGAGCACAATTTCTGGCAGAGCGTTTCCAAAGCATTATATATGATATCGGGGCCCCACGAAAATCCAAGAGCCCTCCTCGAGAAGCTGCAGGGATGGCTTGCCAGCCGGAGCCTCTCGCCCTCAGCTGTCACGGAACAGGCCCCGAACCAAAAAAGGTAGTGGAGCGTGGTCGGTCCTGGCCCCCTTTTGGGTCATGAGCCCAAGACGCTAGCCACTGCGCAACTCCACTTCGCATTACACGGCATGCAGTGCCAGCGGATGGCTGCCTGGCACTTCGCACGCGCACACAGTCTCGATATGTTGCCGCATTATATGTTCAGCTCGGTCCTTTATACCTGGGCCTGCTGAATTCCATTGACCATCTAGTTTTCTCAGCCAGAAAACTTTAGCTTGGACAAACTGCTGGAACCACAGAAGCCCTGAATCTAAGTGCCATACTTTCCCTGGTCCTATCCTGCCCAGGATGCCCTTGGCGGCACTCGAATCAGTGCCTATCTCAATGCTCATGTCTGAGTCGCCGAAGTCTGCTGCCATGCTCCTCACTCCCAATACAATTCAGCCTGCCTTGACACTCGCCATGAACTCTGCCTCGCCCGGGCTGGTAAAGCCCGCAGCAGGACGGGACGCGCTAGTCTGAGCCCCTTCTGGGCCCGAAGCCGCCGAAACCACGAAACTGGCGACCCCAAAACGTCAAAAGATGTGTTCATCCGTCTTTCTCCTCCGACTGCCCGTCCCTTGGCCCTTGCCCAGTCGTTTTATGGAGGAGGCGTGTAAAACCCCTACTCCCGATCAGAGTGGATGTTCTGCCTCAGGCTTTCGCCCCTTGCCCACTCTCCCTCTATATGATTTCCGAGTGGGAGAGGAGCAAGAGGAGGAGACAGCAGAGAAGGGAAGCACTGAGGATCAGAAAGGGCGGCGCCACCCTCCAGTCCGGGCCGGGCCCCTGGCTCGCCTGGCCCTGGGCCCTCGGTGGAGCTCCCTATGGGGCCACGAGACGTGTGAGGGGTGTGCCGAAACGGGCGCGGTGGTGCCATGCGAGCGCAGCCACTTGGGCCTTCGGTGGAGCTCCCTATGGGGCCACGAAACGTGTGAGGGGTGGGCCGAAATCGACATGCGGGGTGGTCCTCGGTGCCGAAATTGGCGCCGCGGCGCCGTGCGAACCCTGTCACTGGGGCCTGCGGTGGAGCTCCCGATGGGGCCGCGGTCCTCGTGAGGGGTGTGCCGAAAGTGGTGCGGCGGTGCCGTGCTGTGTGCGTGGTGCGTGCGTGTGTGAGTGCGTGTGTGTGTGTGTGTGTGTGTGTGTGTGTGTGTGTGTGTGTGTGTGTGTGTGTGTGTGTGTGTGTGTGTGTGTGTGTGTGTGTGTGTGTGTGTGTGTGTGTGTGTGTGTGTGTGTGTGTGTGTGTGTGTGTGTGTGTGTGTGTGTGTGTGTGTGTGTGTGTGTGTGTGTGTGTGTGTGTGTGTGTGTGTGTGTGTGTGTGTGTGTGTGTGTGTGCGTGTGCGTGTGCGTGTGTGTGTGTGCGTGCGTTCGTGCGCGTTCGTGTGTGTGTGCGTGTGCGTGGGTGCGCGTGTGCGCGCGTTCGTGCGCGATGGTGGTGGTGGTGGTGGGGTGGTGGGGGGGGGTGGCGCGTGCGCAGCGTGTTCTGCGCCACAACCGCAGGTCCGCGTGCGCTTTGTCAACGATATCACAAGGATTACATGGACACCGCCGTGCTGCAAGAAAAACAGCAGCAGCCCAGCAAACCCGGGAACGCCATGGTTTATGATCTTGCTGTTTTTTTGTTGTTTGTTTCCTTTGTTGTTCAAGGAAAAGCTGTTATGTTTATAAATATTGTGGTTTTGTTGTTCTTTTCCGAACAAACTGCGTTTTGTTTTACGCGTTCGTGTATTCTTGTATTTTTTCCACAGAAATGTGGCGTGTGCTTGTAGTTGTGTGTGGTTTATATTGTTTTAGCTAAAAATAATATGTTTTAGTTGTTGCGTTGTTTTTTTTTGGTTTTGCTGTGTTTCTCAATTGTTTTTTGTGGTGTTGTTTGGCGTGTCAAGGAAAATTGTTTTCTGGTTTTCTTTAACGTTTTTTCTGCGTTTCCCATAATTTTTGTGTTGCTCCCAAGTGTCTCGAGGAAAGTTTGTTTGTTTTTCTTGTTTTTCCAATTTTTTGTGTTTTCAATAGTTTTTTGTGTTTTCAAGCGTTTCAGCAACATTTTTAAATAGTTTCATGTTTTGTTGTGGTTTTCCATGGTTTTTGTGTTTTTTCAAGAATATTTATATATATTGTTATAATCCGGTTTTCTGTGTTTTTTTCAATAGTTTTGTGATTTTTCAAGCGTTTCTAGGAAATTTTAAATATTTTTGGTTTTTTTTCATGATTTTCTGCGTGTTTCATGTTTTTTGTATTTTTTTCAAATGTTTTTGTGTTTTTGAAGCAAAAATGTGTTTTTTAGCGTTGCTCACGAAATCGGCCGCCCACCGACCTCCACCGACCACCCACCGACCTCCACCGACCACCCACCGACCTCCACCGACCACCCACCGACCTCCACCGACCACCCACCGACCACCCACCGACCTCCACCGACCACCCACCGACCACCCACCGACAAGAAAAACGGAAAAAATGTCATTTTGTTGCAAAAAGGCAGAAACAACATAAAAAAAATAAAAAAAACAAGAAATCTATGAAAAACATGAAAAATAAAAAACCATTGAAAACCATAGAAACACTTGTTTTTTATATATACAAAAAAATCATTGAACAGCTCAAAAAACCATTGAAAAAACATAGAAAACAGTAAAAAAAACAAAAAATGCAAAAAGTCTTTGAAAAGCTTTGAAAAACGCAAAAACTATTGAAACATACAAAACAATGAAAAAACAAAATCATCAAATTTATTGGAAAAGCTTGGCAAAAGCACCAACACTAATGAAAAGCGTAGAAAAAAATAAAAAAAATAATTATCAGAATTCCTTGAAAAGCTTCGAAAAACACAAGAACAATTGAAAACCACAGAAAACTTGAAAAAACAAACATGAAAATACCAGAATTCCTTGAAAAGCATGAAAAGCTCCAAAACAAGTTGGAAAAAAAAAAACCCAAAACTTTGAAAAACCAACAAAAACACAAAAACACATCAAAAACGCATGATAACCCTTTAAACAAAGCAAGCTGAGCCTTTATATATATATATAGTTCTTAGTTTTAAAAACAAAAAACACACACACACACACACACACACGCACACACACACACATCAAAATACACAACAAAAAAACCTTCGAACGCCAGCGATATCTGGAAATCATAACAAATAGCATCCCCCACCACCACCACCACCACCACCACCACCACCACCACCACCCCACCCTCCCAGCGTTTACATAAGGGGGTCAAGTTTGAGCCCACAAATACAATTACCCTGACGAAAACCAAATCATATGCAAGTGTGAGTACCGCGTTGTGGGTACCGCTTTCGGTGGAGCTCCTTATGAGGCCACGATCTTCGTGCGGGGTGTGCCGAATCGGGCCGGGGCCACCATGCGAACCTTGCCACTGGGGCCTTCGGTGGAGCCCCCTTATGTGGCCGCGAAACGCGTGAGGGGTGGGCCGAAATTTTTGCGGGACGCACGTGGACACCGCCACTGGGGCCTTCGGTGGCGCTCCCGAGGGGGCCGCGAAACGTGTGAAGGGTGTGCCGACATGGGCGCGGTGGTGCCATGCGAGCGCTGCCGCTGGGGCCTTCGGCGGAGCTCCCTATGGGGCCACGAAACGTGTGAGGGGCGTGCCGAATTTTGCGCGGCGGCGCCCTGCCAGCACTGTTGCTTGGCCCTTCGGTGGAGCTCCCTCTGGGGCCACGAAACGTGTGAGGGGCGCGCCGAAATGGGCGCGGTGGTGCCATGCGAGCGCAGCCACTGGGGCCTTCGGTGGAGCTCCCTCCGGGGCCGCGAACCGTATGAGGGGCGTGCCGACATGGGCGCGGTGGTGCCATGCGAGCGCAGCCACTTGGACCGTCGGTGGAGCTCCCTATGGGGCCACGAACCGTGCGAGGGGTCTGCGTCGGCGTCGGCGGCGTCGTCGTCGTCGAGGCGGGGGGGGGTAGAGGAGAGGAGGAAAAGCGGAGGAGGAACAGCTGGAGGAGGTTCAGTGTCCAGGGGGGTTGTTTTGGACCCGTGCTGGGCTGTTGCGGGCTTTACCAGCCCGGGCTAGGCGGCGGCGCTGCCTGCGCGCTGGTAACTGCTCGGATCAAATGGCTCCCGAAGACCACGCGCACGGAGCTGACCGACTTGCGGGTCGACACATCGCCAGCCCAATCCGAATCTGACCTGACCGGAATCTTGGTGGACGCTTCTTGCTCCCAGAAGCTGACCACCCATCTGGGGCGTGCCTTGAGGATCCTGGCAACTCTCTTCATCCTGTTGAAACCACCCACCACTGGATTCGCCATGTGGCGGGCCACGCGGTTCGCCACGAACTGGAGATGAGGGAGATCCTGATCAAGATACCTCAGCCTCATCGTGCCAGATCGGTATGTCGTCGCAAACCCGCTGTCGAGCTCGCGGTCGTCGTCGTAGTCACCAGACTTTTCGCCCGGGGTCGAGACTCTCTTCGCACTCGGTCGGTTCAACCCGAACGTTAGGACCAATATCTCAGCATGGCGCGGGTCCGGCTCGTAGCGAATGACGTGCTTGCCGTCGCAGACCTCGAAAGTGAGCAAGCGGCTGAGGATGGAAATGTGTTTCGCGTCGCCGCTGTCGAACCCCAGCCTTGCCCGCAGCTTCAATATCATGGGGATCCGCAGCACCTTGAACGCCCGGTCCACGACTTCGCCCTCTCCGCCGAAAACCATGACCATCTCGTCGCCGTGCCTCCACCCGACGCTCTCCTCGCTCGAGTGGATGTAAATGCGCGGACAAGACTTCCCTGTGCGATACCCCGCTGTCTGGATGCACCCGCTGGAGAACTTGTCGCACTGGTGGGCTGCGTCCCTGGCGCCGTGCATCGCCCGCTTCAGGGGCCCGACGAAACCCTCCTTGGCGCCCTCCGGCGGCAGCTCGATGCAGGCCCCCCCCCAACTTTTTGGTCTGCGGGTCGAGAGCGAGCCTCTTCCAGTCAAGAGCTAGGCGGGCCGCGCAAAGCACTACTTGGGGAGACAGCACAGGCGGGCGGGGCCTCAGGCGGCCGGAGGGCGCGGGGTGCAGGCGGCGCCGAGCAGGCCCCCCTAACAGAGAAGGAGTGAAAGTACGCTCGTGACACGTCGAGCACGATCATCTTGAGTCGGAGCCTCCAGCATCCTCTCCTTCTGATGGTGGTCATCCACGATAGAACATGCCTCATACCTCGGCGCCTCCAGCGGCGGCATCGCCGCGAAGATCCCTTCCATGAGCGGGTCTCGCCACTCGAACTCCTTGGCGACTAGCCTCGGCCGCGTTTCCATGCGTTCGCTATCGCCTTTGTTCACGTCGGCCCACCACTGACAGCGCCCGACCTCCTCGGCGACTTCCCGCATGGACGTGATCCACCCTGCCGTTTTCCTCGCTGGGACCGCCCCGCCGCGGTCGTCGGTCGTAGTCTGGCCAGCGGCGCATTGGTCATTGCGCACCCACCGCGCGTCAGGTCGCGCAAATCGTGCCTGAACCCTCGGATCCTTCCCGCTGCTCGCCGAATGCGGGTACTCGTGGATGACGCCCAGGCCGTCTGTCAGCTGCTCCTCGTAGATATCTACGCAGAGGTCGAGGTGGCGCTAGCCCTCCTCGACGATCTTCTCGCGCACCTCAGGCTTGGTCGCGTTGAATGACAGCGGCGTGCAGATTGCCTTGCACCGTGGGCTTCGTCTCGCGCCTCAGGGCCCTCGCCTCTCTGACCTGATCGGGGTCGCCCAGGTCCCAGCCAGTCGTCAAGTCAAGGGCAGATCCAGCCTGCATGGGCGTACTCACCACAAAGCGCGGTAAGTCTGTCACGACAGAACACCTCGCTGACGTCGCCCGGGTCGAACTTCACATCGCTAAACCGACCCCCTAGGGACTGCACCTCGTGCTTCACGATGCCCATGATGGTGCGCATCCTCTTCGGCGGCCGGCTGTCCAGAATGTTCCGGGAGGCGTCTTCCGCAACGTTCTGGGACTCGCGCCCGTCGCGCGAGTCCATGAATAAGTCTGCGTTCTCCATCGCCTGCGCAACCTGCTCCGAGTCTTCGGCCGCCCTCTTCGCGGCCTCGACCGGGCGCGGCGGCGGCGCCTCCGCCGCGGTGCTCGCCTCGCAAGGCGCCTCGGCCGATCCTGCAGCCGCGCCCGCCGCGCCCCCTGCGGGCGGCGAGGCCGCAGCTTCCTGCCTCTCGACGTCGATCTTTTCACCTCTGAACTTCTTGACCTCCTTCAAGAAGTCGGCGCGTTTGCCGTTGTCCGCGAGGATGGCCGCTTCTATCCGCGCCCGACACGCGCCGCTGTGAGCGCGGGGCGCCCTGCCTCCTCGAACCGCGTCGCGCCCGGGGCACCGTTCGGCGCGCCCGTAGCGCGCGAGCTCCACGTTGCGCCGAACGTAGATCTGCCTCGCCTCCGACGCCGCCGGCTTCTCTGGAGCTGGGGGCAGCTCCTCCTCTGAGACCGCTGGTTCGATCGCGACCATCGCTGATGCTGCTCGCTCGCAGCGCCGCGCCTGCCTCTGAGCGGCGCCGGCGCCCGCGGGGCGCCCGCGACCGCCTCGAGGAGCCCCTGGCCCTTCAACTGTTCTCGCGGAAGCCGTCGAAAACTATTGACCTTGAAGCGCCCCTCCGGCACCGGGGCCCTGACTCCGTTCGCGCGCTCGATCAGGCCGACGAAAAGTCCCGAGCCCCACCTGTCCTCAAACTTGGCCCCCCGCCTCTACTCCGCGACCTTCAGATGCAAAGCCGGCCCCCCGAACTTCGGGATCGCTCGCTTGAAGGGCCGACCGCGCCGAAGCTCGATGGCGGCCCCCCCGTCGAGAGAGCTCCCGGCACCGTGACAGGAGCGGGCCTGCGTGCTCGATCGCCCACAAGCGGCACGGCCGATCCATGTCCGCGTTCATCCCGCGCGCGCCCCCCACGTCGAAAACCATCGCCCGAGCGATGCCTTCCACCTCCCAGATGGCTCGCTCGACGCGGGCGTTCGCCTCTGATCGAGCCCCAGGCGGCTCCTCGCACTCTCGTCGAGGAAATCTCCTGGGGCTCGGCAACTGCAGCGCGCTTCAGGGCCTCGATGGAGTCCTCGCCGTCGCTCTCGTAGACGAACTCGGCGACTCCTGTGTCCAGCCGGTCCTCGGCCACAGCGCGCGCGGCCCACTCGTCGGCCCCTTTGCGCCGAACGGGGCGGCTGGCGACGCGCCTGTCGCGGCGATTGCAGCGCGCGACGATGGGGATTGCCTCGCCCGAGGCCTCGTCGACCTCCCTGCGCGCGCCCATGAAACAATAGTCGCAGGAGATGACGGGGACCAACTTCTCATCGTCCGCGCGTCTCCGGCGCAGGCCCGCTTTGCCCCGTCCCATCGCGAAGAACCGACGCCGCCCCCCGACAGGGGCAGTGGCTAGCTTCGCGCTCTACCAGCCCCCTCTTGGCGGGCGCCTCGGGGCACGGCGCAGGGCGAACTCCGCTCTCCTCGGTGTCCTCCATATTCTCCTCCAAGTACTGTTGGTCCGGGGATGCCACTCGGGCTCCGCTCGCCCCCCGGGCTCCTCGGCGAGCGCGCCCAGTTCGATCGGGCATGCAGGCGGCTGCCCTGCCGCGCGGGGCGCGACATATTCACCGCCTCTGCCGCGATCTCGCGCCGGCCCCCGACGCGCTCGAACTCGGTGATCTGCGTCGTCACGTGGCGCTCTGCCCAAGCACGCTGGTCGCGCATGAAATGGAAGTCGCGCCCCTTGTCGTCCAAGTCGCACGCGGCGAGGAGCGGCCCCCACGCAGGTGCGATGTGAGGCTTGACCGACCTCGGCTCGCCCCCGACCAGGAGCTCGCAGCTGTGGCGCCCCAAATATGGGATCGTCGGCTGGTCGATGTCGTCCCGGGCCCCGTACTTGACGCCGGCCTTGCTCTCCTCGTTCGGCTCGATCGGTACCTCCGGGAACAGCATCTCCAGCCGCGCCGCGACCCCGGCATCGGAGTCGACGCCGATCCCGACGGTCCTGCCCACGGCCGATATCTCCTTCGCGGTGGTCAACACAGCGACCTCCAAGCTGGCGTGCTGGAGCGATCGGCCGACTGCAGATCCCTCGACACCTCCTGGCACTGCGTCGGAAGGGCCACGAGTTGCGTCTGGACGTCGGCCAGCTGGTCGATCCGCTTGCGTTTATTGGCCGGCCCAACCGATGATGACGGAGCCGACGCATCCGCCTCCTTCTTGTATGCTGCCATCTTCCCGCAGTCCGCCTTCCCATGCCCCTTGATGTCGCAGCAGTCACACGTCCCCGTGAAACCAGGAGCGGCTGTAGCATCTCGCCCATTTCCTCCGCCTCGACCTTCGCCTCCTCGCCCTCCTGCGCCGCGGCCCGAGCCTCTGTTGCCGCTCTTGGGGCCCTGTCCTTCCCGGCGTCAACAATCATTACTCTTGTGTCCCAATTTGCCGCAGACGAAGCAATTCCCAGGGAACTGAACTCTCAACTGGAGCTCACCCTTGCCGTCTGCTTTCGGAGGGCGCCCGACCGCCGAGATGCCCAACGCTTGCCCGATGAACTTGCGGGTGCCCATGACCTCGTGGATCTCGCGCCGCGCCCTCTCGTACGTCTCCAGCCCGTGGGCGTTCAGGGTGATGTGCTCCGCGAGCCGCTTGGCCTGCTCGTCCTAGACCCCCGCCAAACCGTCGATGGCCGCGCCCATCTTCACCGCTTCGTCCACCTTGCGCCTGCTTGCCTTCTGGTGCTGTTTGACAAATTTCTCAAAGGCGTCGAAGCTAGCTGGCACGTCCGTCGCGAAGGCGAACGTCGCCACCTTCTGCATCAAGCCCGTGGTCTGGCTGCGGTACTTCGGCTCGCACCCCGCCATCGGCAGACGCCAGAGCACGAGCCCTTCGCCTTCCCCGGCTGCCTCCACCTTGTCCTGGGCGCGGCCCTCGCACAGCATGCACAAGAGGTAGTGCAGCTGTGCGATCCACTTCTCGTCGTCGCCATTCAAGCTCACCAGATCGACCTCCTCTTGCAGGTCCTCGGCCAGCTTGGTGAGCTCTGGGGCGCGTGGCGAGATCGCCGCCACGAACGCCTTCAACGCCAATGACAAGCTCGGCCACGACTCGTCTTTGCCGTCGAACTGCTTGGGTTTCCCGATCACGCGGGCGTCGGTCGCGGGAGCGATCGGCGAGAGCCCTGGAGGAACACGACCTTCAGGTCACGGAGTGCCTGCTCTCTCACGGCCCCGGGCCGCCAGCTCAGCACGGAGCTGCTGGTTCTCGGATTCCGTCGCCTCCATCCTTCTCTCCTTTTCGCTCAATCTCTGGAGAATCCCCTGTGCCACGTCTGCCGCGCCGGCTGCTGCTGCTGCCCCACCTGGCTCGTCTCCCATCGCTGCAAGTCTGCCTGGGAAATCTGCGGCGCGGTCAGGACCACCGCTACCATTTCACACAAATATGATAATTCACCTGCGCCAAAATGCTGCGGCACGGACTCGTTTCAGAATGTTCCGGGAAGCGATTTCCGGACCGTTCTGAGCACACATTCTGGCAGAGCGTTTCCGGAGCATTATATCTTACATAGGGGCCCCACGAACATCCAGGAGCTCTGCCGTGCTCCTGTGTATGCTGCGTGTTCTGCCTTGCTCCTACGTGTTCTGCCGTGCTCCTATCTGTTCTGCCGTGCTCCAATGTATCCTGTGTGTTCTGCCAAATTATGCCGTGCTCCTGTGTGTTCTGCCATGGTCCCGTGTGTTCTGCCGTGCTCCTGTGTTCTGGCGTACTCCTGTGCTCTTGCGTGTTCAACCGTGCTCTTGCGTGTTCTGCCGTGCTCCTGCATGGTCTGCCGTGCTTCTGCTAATTCCTGCGTGTTCTGCCTTGGTGCTGCGTGTTCTGCCGTGCTCGTGTGTTCTGCCGTGCTCCTGCGCCCTCTGCAGTTCCCCTGTGTGTTAAAATTAAAATTAAAATTAAAGACGGGGCCTTCAAGGCAAAGTGCAAGCACACGGACTGGGCCAGACGGGACCCACGTTCCCGAGAGACGCCGAGTCCCAAAAGGCACCGAGGGCGGCGGAAGCCTGCTCCCAGGCGGAGCAGCAGGCGCGAGCCACTACGATGCGACCTCTCACTCACTCACTCACGGACAGGCCGCCACGGCGCGCCACTCGGCGGCGTACCCTGCGGCCTTCCAGGGCTCCGCCCTCAGTGCCAGCCGCGGCGGCGAGCTCCTCCTCGACGCCCCCGAACTCACCGAGGTTCCCCACTCTCACCGCAGCTGGGCGCCGCTTGGGCGGGCTGGCGGCGGCCGCGGCATCGGCCGCGCCCGAGGGGCCTCCTCCTGAGTCCGCAGCCACCCGCGGCTCTGGAGCTGCCGCTGGGGCGCTGCCTGCACTGCTCGCCGTGGCCGAGGGGTCTGCAGCTGGCTCGGCTGCCGTGCCGAGCCACTCCAGGTACTGTTCCCGTGCGTGCTCTGGCACTGGACCCTGCGAACGCAGCTTAGGGATGCCTTCTCCTTTCACCATGTGCCTGGCCGCTCGTGACCCCTCTTGCCTCCTGCCTCCAGGATGGAGTCCACGTTGCCACAGGCTGCGCTGGTTCCTGCCGCCCTTGTCGGTCTTGTCGCCCGGGCACCGCTCCTTGAGGCGCGGCTTAGCCCCCGAGCGGCCGCCCAGCGTCATGCAGGCGCCACACTTGGAGGAGCCGAGTCCCAAGCGAGCACCGAGGGCGACGGAAGCCCACTCACACAGGGAGCAGCTGGCGCAAGCCTCAACGATGCACAACTCGCCTTCACTCACGGCCGGCTCGCCACGGCGCGCCAGGCGGCGGCGTACCCTGCGGTCCTCCAGGGTGCCGACCGCTGCATTGGCCGCGGCGGCGAGCTCCTCCTCGGCGATCCGAGGGCCCCAAGGAGCCCAGCTCAAGCCGCGGCTGGGCGCCGCAGAGGCTGGCTGGCAACGGCCGTCGCGATGGGCGTGTCCGCGGGGCTTCGCCAAGTCCCTCTGCCACCTCAGCTCTGCGGCTGCCGCTGGGGCGCTGCCCGCGCTGCTCGCAGTGGCCGAGGAGTCGACTGCTGGCTCCGCTACGATGCCCTGCCGCTCCAGGTACCCCTCCTGCGCATGCTCGGGCGAAGGCCCCTGCGAACGCAGGGCAGGGATGCCACATCCTTTCACTTTGTGACTGGCAGCTCGTGCCCCCTCCTGCATCCTGCCTCCAAGATGGAGTCCCCGTGGCCACAGGCTGCGCTGGTTCCTGCCGCCCTTGTCGGTCTTGTCGCCCGGGCACCGCTCCTTGAGGCGAGGCTTAGACCCCGAGCGGCCGCCCAGCGTCATGTAGGCGCCACACTTGGAGCACGCCACGAGCTCCTGGGTGTCCTCACCTTCTCCAGCACAGGCGTGGGACAGGGCATGTCCCAGGATGCTGAAGGCTACTGCACTGGCCGAAAGGGCTGCCGAGCTGTTGCCTGTCGAGCGGGTGCTCTCCAGTCGCGGCCGCTCGGCCGACGGTCCCTCGCCCTTGGC